CAGTAGCATTTAGTTTCAGAAAGGGGGACTACACAGAAATGAGGAGGTTAGTTAAAAAGAAATTAAAACGTACAGTGCCCAAATGAAATCCCTGCAAGTTGCATGGAAACTTTTTGAAGACACCATAATAAAGGCTCAACTTAAATGTATACCCCAAATTAAAAATCATAGTAAGAGAACCAAAAAAAGTGCCACTGTGGCTAAACAACAAAGTAAAAGAAGCAGTGAGAGGCAAAAAGGCATCCTTTAAAAAGTGGAAGTTAAATCCTAGTGAGGAAAATAGAAAGGAGCATAAACGCTGGCAAATGAAGTATAAAGGTATAATTAGGAAGACCAAAAAAGAATGTGAAGGAAAGCTAGCCAAAAACTCAAAAAGTAATAGCAAATTTTTTTGAAAGTAAAGCAGAAGCAGGAAGCCTGCTAAGCAACCAGTGGGGCCATTGGATGATTGAGATGCTAAAGGAGCACTCAAGGACGATATGGCCATTATGGAGAAACTAAACAAATTCTTTGCATCAGTTTTCATGACTGAGGATATGAGGGAGAATCCCAAACCTGAGCCATTCTTTTTAGGTGACAAATCCGAGGAACTGTCCCAGTTGAGGTGATTTTGGAAAAAAACTGATAAACTAAACAGGACCAGATGGTATTCACTCAAGAATTCTGAAGGAACTCAGATGTGAAATTGCAGAACTACTAACTGTGGTTTGTAACCTATCATTTAAATCAGCTTCTGGACCAGGTGACTGGAGGATAGATAATGTGACACCAATTTTTAAAAAGGGCTCCAGAGGTGAGCCTGGCAATTACAGGCTGGTAAGCCTGACTTCAGTACCGGGCAAACTGGTTGAAACTATAGTAATGAACAAAATTGTCAGGCACATAGATGAACATAATTTGTTGGGGAAGAGAAGAGTCAACATGGTTTTTGTAAAGAGAAATCAAGTCTCACCAATCTACTAGAATTCTTTGAAGGAGGTCAACAAGCATGTGGACAAGGGGGATCCAGTGGATATAGTGTACTTAGATTTTCAGAAAGCCTTTGACAAGGTCCCTCAACAAAGGCTCTTAAGCAAAGTAAGCTGTCATGGGATAAGTGGGAAGGCCCTCTCATGGATTGGTAACTGGTTAAAAGATAGGAAACAAAGGATAGGAATAAATGATCAATTTTCAGAATGGAGAGAGGTAAATAGTGATGGCCCCCAGGTGTCTGTACTGGGACCAGTCCTATTCAACATATTCATAAATGATCTGGAAAAGGGGGTAAACAGTTGAAAAATAGATCTTGTCAAACTAACTTCATGTTGATAAATTGGAGAGGGTTCAGAGAAGAGCCACGAGAATGATTAAAGGATTAGAAAACCTGCCTCATAGTGAGTGATAGACTCAAATAGTTGAATCTATTTAGGTTAACAAAGAGAAGGTTAAGGGTGACTAGATTACAGTCTATAGTGGGTTAAACAAATATTTAATAATGGGCTGTTCAGGCTAGCAGAGAAAGGTATAACAGGAGCCAGTGGCTGGATGGTGAAGCTAGACAAAGTCAGACTGGAAATAAGACGTAAACTTTTAACAATGGACCATTGGACTAATTTACCCAGGGTTGTGGGAGATTCTTCATCACTGACCATTTTAAAATCAAGATTGGCTGTTTTTCTAGAAGACAGGCTCTAGGAATAATTTGGGGAATGTTCTATGGCCTGTGTTCTACAGAAACTCGGCCTAGATGATCACAACGGTCCCTTCTGACCTTGGAATCTATGAAATGCTGCGAGACGTGCATGTCTGAGGGTCAGTGGGGCAGTCTTCCGGCTGACTCAACAATGCCCCATTACAGCAGTGCACTGGGACTCCTTCTTGGATCATTTTCCAGGGTTCTCTGCTGTCTCCCCACTGGATCCCTTATTTGCAACCCCCGTCCCCCCTTTATCATCCCCCTGTAATCTCTGAAATTCTGGGGTCTGTGGTCCCGCCCACAGCTGAGGGGCTGGCCTTCTGTTGTTCTGGTAGGCTCCACCCGCCATCCCAAGACTTAATAGGCTGCTCTAGTTTCAACTGGGTAGAGTGTTCTTCCTCCAGTCCAAGCCTCTGCTGTTGTGTGATGCTTTTACCCGCCGGGATGGGGAAAGTGATTCGGTAGCTTTATACAGTTAGCATACAGAGTTTGTACGAAAGCACTTTGAGATGGCGGGTGGGGTATCGTTAAAGCCCGGGGCTGGGAACTCAGGAAACCTGCATTCAGTTCCTTCATCTGCTGCAGACTATTGAATGGGAATAATTATACTTCCTTTTCTCCCACGCCTCGTCTATTCAGAGTGCAAATTCTTCCACGCAAGGTCTGTCTCTTAGGGCTTGTCTCCTCGTCTGTCCCAGCGATTTATCTAAATCGATAGAAAAAATAATGTAGTCAACCCCTTTTTGCACACTAGCACCTAGAGGGATAACTAGACCCACACTAGGGGATTGCATTGACCAAAGTACACCTTCTTTCCCCCTACTGGTTTAGCTAAATTGGTACAAACCTGTGTAGCCCCATCCGAGCTCTGTATCTGAATACTGTCGATCGCAATGGGGTCCTGATCTCCGGTGGGGGCCTCCATAAATAATAATAAGCAGTGACAGGATCTAATAAGATCAAACTGGACTGATTTCAAGGAAGTCCTGTGGCCTGTGTTAAGCAGGAGGTCAGAGTAGATGATGACAGTGGTCCCTTTAATTAATCTATTAATGTGTTTGGCTGACATGTGCTGTATACATCTCCAGTCTACTCTGTTATCTACTTGATTAGTTACCTCCCTCATTTCCCCATACTGATTGAGACAGTTTGGCACAGAGGCTTCCAAAAATGATCACCTGATACAGGTTTAACCAGCATGCCTTAGAATTGCTGTTTCACATTAGGACCCTGACAAACCCTGCATGACTGCAAGGATCACCCGCAGCACCTGCATGAAGCCCATTCGGGGGGGGGGGCAGGTTAGAGACAACATCAGCTTTGCAAAAGCCTTGCAGACTGCTTGGGAGCTCTCTCTCTCGCTTGGCCATTGGTTGGTGATTCTGTGCCAGCATGACGAAGGGCCCCTCGCTCTTTTTGTCACTATGGCTTTCAACGGGGCTGCGTGTCGCTCGGATCAGTTCGGAATGGAAAGTTCCTGTAAAGAAGAGTTTCATCTCTGGGTGCTTCCTCTTCCAGTAGCTGTGGGGAAAATAGGCAGTTCCGCCTCTGGCTTCACTTGAAACGCGTTTCCGTTGGCCGAGGCTGTGAAGCTGAGTTCTCACCCATATCAGCTTTTCTTGTGGTTGCGTCGGGGTTTTTTCTCCCCCCCGCCCATGCAACCACGGGCTAAAGTCATGCAACCGGGTGCAAAGGCACATCTGAAGAATCACTCAGCATCACAACTCTCTCACATGCTGCGTGCCTAATTCTGTGCAAGCGGCTTAGCGCTCCAGGCAGGGATGGCTTTCTGAGCTGCATTTGTGCAGCACGCAGCTGGCATCTCGGCATGGCGGGGATGCAAAATAATAAATAAAAAGCGTGGCAGGCCTTGGCTCTGGGCCTCAGCCTCCCGAGCCCCAGGAAGCTAGGCCGACGTTTTCACTGCAATCTGTGGCGTTGCTTTTCAGCTGTAATTGTGACACAGTGTTTGTGGACGCTGAGGGACTTTGTTCTTGTTTAATAGGCTTGGGAGTAGTGGGTCCAGCAGTCTGCTAGGCACCGGCATCCCTGACATCTATTTGTTTTTTTCTACAACTGACATGCTACCGTGTGTAGCCTTGGCCAGTTCATTTAGGGTTTGCTACGCATTTTGCTGGAGTCTTTCCATTCATTTCTTTAGGCTTTAGATTGGGCCCCGTGCCTCAGTTTACCCATCGGTCAGGCAGTGATCATGCGGCTTGACTTCACAGCAGATGTGTGAGGTGCCGTTAATAAAGGGGCTGAGTTCTGTTCTCAGAATTGCTGGTGTCACTCTGGAGTCATGCCATGGATTTCAGTGGAATAGCTCCGGATTTACACCACCTTATTTTAGATTGGGAGCTTGGCCCCATTTTTTGTCTGCTGTTCAAGAGCAGAATTTCCTGAGCCGGTGGGTTATGAAAACACACCGATCTTAAATGTCCAGCACCTCAGAATTCTGCAAAGGGGGAGGTCAAAAATCAGGCCTGTAATGAGAAGCCAGTTTCCACCTGAGGTATGGACCTGTCTCAGCAACTCCATCTTTACATAGCCTGGGACATTTCAGCTCTTTTGCGGTGCACACAAGTTTTTTGTGGAGCTGAGCTACGGGCTAAAGTCACTTAAAAACCAGATTGATCTGGTCTCTCTGGCAATGCGTAGGGTCTGCTGTTTGGCATGGGGGGGATACCCCCCTAGCCCATGCGTTCTCTTGGGAGGATGGTGATAGAGAAAAAGTGGGGGTTTTCAGCACTATGCCCCGCCAGGCACGTTTCCTTGGGCATGATTCTCTTTTCTCACGGGCGTGAAGCGGGGCTGACGCCATTGGAATCAGTGTTACATGAGTATAAAACCCGTTAGGCGCAGGCCCTCTTGCGCCAGTCAGTCCACTGCATACATTCTCTGCGCGTACTCCATCCAAAGGGACGTTTAAAATAAAGGGTGTGTGTGTGTGTCTGGGGGGGGGAGGCAATCTGGAGTAGAGCTTGATCACATTGGGTGCTGAGCACCCTCTGCTTTCCAATGCAAATTCAGTACAAGTAGATGCTCTGTGCCTCAGTTTCCCCATCTGTAAAATGGAGCCAATTATCCTTACACAGCCCTCAGGGTGTGAGTTAAATGCCTTAGTGGGCCAAACCTCTAGCTTGTGTAAATGAGCAGAGCTCCCCGCCAATGAGCTGAGGACTTGACCTCATGTCTCTGAGATGCTTGTAGCTCCTCAGGGGTCAGGCACTGGGGCTGGGGGAAGCGTTGGGATTGAGTCTGTGTATTTGGACAACACTGGTAAGCAGCATGAGGAAATCGAACAGGCGGGAGGCACCGCAGAGACTTGTAACCATACATTTATTATTCCACGTGGAAAGGCCTTAAAATGATTACACAGATGCCTGACAAGATAATCACGTACATTTGATAAGAACATCGACGTTTATAATAGAAAAGCAGAACTGGCCACTTCGCTATGGCTTCTTACAAACTCGAGTCCACCTATTCACAAGATAGGCTAAGAAGAGGGGGTCTGATCCTGCGCTCGCTGAAGCTAAAAGCAGCAGACTCCTGCTAATGACTTCAGTGGGAGCAGACCCCCGCCCCTCCCCAGTGACAAGTGCTACAGGTAAAAAGATGGGCTACATATTAAATATAGGGAGTTACCTTCAAGTAGGGCTGGTATATTACACAAATAACCACATTATTTGGTGTTACTAGCATTTTTGCAATGTCCATCATAAAATTCCATTTAAACAAAACAAATCTCTGCCATCTTTAGCTACAGAAAGAGTGTTCTTCTAGTCTCATTTTTTTGGTTGTTTCTGGCTTTGACCCTGCACACGCAAGTATAGGAAGCATTATTAAGAACTGGATCCTTCAACATATTTAAGAATTATATTATTCTAACAAATAAGACCAAAAAATTAGATTTTACAGTTAAATATTTCATAAGCCAGACAAAGGTTTTACTGTACAAGCGATTGTGCATTTAAAAAAAAACCAACAAAAAAGCAAATGATAGTGCAAAGCAAATTCTTTTGGCCAGTCTTGCGACCATTTGCATAAAATTGAGGTGTCTGTATTTACACCTTCATATGACAATATGTCATAAAGGAACATAGTTGCAGATATATATATATTTTTTTGGTTTTAAATACTCCATGAACACCATTAAATTGGTATGAAGAATTCCTTATTTTCTTTGTGCTTTCTATCAGTGGAACTATTGTACTGATAAACTTGAACGCATCAGAAGACAGGCTGCCATAGTCCAGTTTGACAGACAGATAGCAATCAAGAGGCATGGGCTTGCTGTTTGCTAAGGCAAGTGGAGTTTGCAGTTTTTAAATCCATGAGTGGTCATTGCAGCTTTACAACTAAATCCAGGTACATATGATTTGATGTCTCAATCCCATATTTAAATGGTAATGCATTTTATGTCACTTGATTGCTGGAAAGATACCCACTGAGATTTGACAAGCCAACCATCTTTGCTTTAGCTGTGGTGCATAGGATGGGATTTTCAAAGGTGCTCAAGGTCTCATTGAAATTCAACCTTAACTCACTCAAACATAAGCAGCCAGATGCCAAATAATTCTCATGATAACTTAAAAAAACCCACTGAGTAGTAGGAGTTTCATAATCAGTTAAGGGAAAAAAAGGGGCAACTTTTGGCTTGTTCTACATCACCTTGCCGGAGAGATGCACCGCTTGGCTTGTTCTACATCACCCTGCCGGAGGGATGCTTACCGCTTGGCTTGTTCTACATCGCCCTGCCGGAGAGATGCTTACCCCCAGCCACGGGCTCTGTTAAATACTCACAGGGTTAGTATGAATTTAGAACTATGCTTCAGCATTATTATTAATATATCTCCTCTGAAGTGGCTACATAACTAGAGGAGACCTCTAGTTCACATTCTGAAGCACCCAACTCCCACAGGGTCTTCCTATTTAATAGGACTGGGAATCTAATTCTAAGCCCTGACTCTCCATCACCCTTCGCCGTGTGCAGTCATTTACACCAGTGCAAAGTGGAGGGAAAATGCTTCCGCTTTAGTAGCCTTTTGTATCCATTAACACAGGAGCAGGATCCCCCTCTGCTTAAAGTACCTCTTGCAACACACAAGTCCTGGGTTCTGTTCCCATCCCTGCCACTGGTGTGCTACATTCAGTGACCTAGAGTGGGAGCTCTTACAACCCAGCTGCCCGCTGAAGTGGCAAACTGTTATCCAGGCAAACGTACCTTATTCACAGGAGTCGTCTCATCGTCTTCAATGGAACAACTAGTGTGAGTAAGGTTATGTTAGGACGAGGCCCTAATTCCTGTTTGAAGCACAGGGAACTAATTTATGTCAGCTAGCAATGCGGAGGGGCAGCGTGGTCCAGGGAGATCCCAAGGACCCAGGAATGCTGGCTTCTAGCCCAGACTCTGCCACAGAGCTCCTGTGTGATGTCCCGTTTACTTCCCTACGCGTTGTCTATTTCAGTTGTAAGATCACTGTGGAGGATGGTCACTATGTATCTGTACAGCACTCAGCACGATGGGCCGTAATCTCCGCCGAGGCCTCTAGCGGCTGCTCTGTTACCAGTGGTAAGCGTGGGTCAGGAGTGCCACTGTATGTGGCCTTCGACGAATCCCTCTACCTCAATTTACCTGTCTGTAAAATGGGGATAATAACAGTGCCCTAAATCACCACAGGGGTTGTGATACGAGGCATAATTACGCTAAGCACTTTGAGATGAGAAGTGCTATATAGTATGATTTCATTTGTCTAAAATAAAGCCAGGGGGTTACGTTTTATTTAAAATTGAGGGGTCAGTCAAATCTCAGTCAGTACTTCTAGAATCAGCCGGCAATCTCTTTTCTTTAAGCACAAACGCATGGTGTGTAGAGCCACTCTGGGTGTAAAAATGGACGCGAATCATAAAATAAATACTAAGTATTGCCACAGCTGCCTGCGTTCCACCTGGAAATGAGCGAGGAGAAGCCGCTACGCTGGATTTCATATAATTCCAAAGGCTTCCGCGTCCTCTTTGCAGCAAACGTGTTTGTAAGTGCACCTCACACGCTGGATTGTCCCAAACGCCTTCTTCGTCTCGGACGCAACCATCGAGACTAACTAGAAGTAGCAAGGAATTAACGTCCAGGTCAGGACGAAAGGAAAACACATTGTGTTAAAAAATTACATCTCATGTAAACATATGGGAAGGGGATTGGGGAGGTCATCAAGCGTGGGATCAGCCATGTTACTGTTGAAAACAAACAAACAAACAAAAATCACAATACAACCACTTTCAAAATCATATCACAGCACTTGTTCACATGGCTGATACCTGCTCACTCGCTAGCAATGTTCTTCAGAGCCTTAACTGCGTCAGCGAGAGCCAGTCACACCTGTTTTGCTGTAAACAAGACTCACGTCTCAGCTGATGCGGGCAGCTCTGGTTCGTTTGGTGATTAAAGGCCCTTTTCCGGAGGGGGCGAGTGGCTAAGGCTTCTTAGTTCGTTCTTCCTGCATTTGCAGAGAGATGGACTGGCTGATTTCTGGGGCCTTTTTAAAATTTTCTCTTAACACCTATGATTCTGCAGGAGGACAGGGGTTTTTTTGGTTAAGAGCGAGATGATGGATAGGCATTCTGAACATAGCCACAGCTGGGCAATTAACAAACATCTGATTCCACACACTCCTATATACAATCCACCCATTTCAAAGTGACCAAAGGAACCTCACTGAGTGACCAATTCAAGCCTTGTGGACGTGTGTTTTGAACTGTATACAGCTCTGGTCCATCTTTGCTTGCCAATTACCTATATTGGTGAGGGAAGGATCCTGATTTGCCTTCAGATTGGGAGACGTCCCGTGCTAGGCCTCATTTTGATCTATTTGCGATTGACAGGAGTAACACATTGATGGGCGTTTTATTTGGTTCAAGTTACACGTGCCTCCTTGAGTCCTTCCTAGTAGGGTCTCCAGACAGATTCATCCATCCTCCCGGTAGTCGTCATGGCTGTAGGCGAGTTACTGTGACTACCATCCGCATCAACGCCATCATTCTGATTGGCAAGGTTGGGATTCATTAAGTTGTTGCCCACTGAGGCACTCGTGCAGGAGGACAGCATCCTTGTGGGTGAGCGCTCACCTCCCGCCACCATGGAGAATTGGTACGATCCGGACGACGTACCGTAGTACAAATGGTAAGGGGAAGGGTTGGTTTGGAAGGGTCCACTTTGGTTCTGGGTGGAGCCAGGGTAGGGTGGCGGAAGGTAAGTGTGGTGGAAGCGGGTCGTGGTGGGCATGCTGGTCATGCTGATGCCACTGATCCCTGAGGCTGAGGGCGTCGCGGGGTAAGGGAAGGCCGCTGACATCGCGCCGGGGTAATGCATCCGGGGGTCGGAAAACCTGGTCTCGGTCAGGGTCGGCAGTGTGGGAAAGGAGCGATCAAACTGACGTGGGTCAGAGAAGGGGCTCAGATCCGACGTGCCTGTTTGCAAGAAAAAAGAACATTGGCTGGTTAGGCTTTTCCTGCTGGAAAACAAAGACCACAGCTGACGGGCGCAGCTTTAGGGTGTACTTGGGGCTGACGCTTAACGGGAGAGTGAGTGATTTGTCCAAACAGGGTCCTGTGAGCAACAAGTCCAAAGGTCTATTCCTGCCTCTGCAACAGGAAAAAAGCCACACTGATCTAAACACCTTTATACGGATAGAACTGCATCCACACCATGGGACTGCACTGACTCCATAAAGGGATTGCATCCATACTTACGGGACTGCACTGACTTAACTGTATTGGTTTCTAAACTGGGTACAAAAGTGATAGGAAAACTGGGTGCAGACCAGCCCTCGCAACCAGCATTAGGCCTATCGTTATCCTTTCTCAATGGCGAGAGGATTGCAGCCTTTACTCAAATCAATCCGTGAAACAGAAGACATTCTAACCTATGCCTCATAAATAAACAATTTAGGAGTGTGAACAACAAAACACAAAGTAGGGATCTAACACCAATCAGCAGTTGCGTAACAAAGTCGTTTTGCCTAGTAGCTAGAGCACCGGACAAGGGCTTAGGAAACCTGGGTTTTATGCCTGCCTCTGCCACTGGTCTGCTGAGTGATCGTGTGCAAGTTACTTCAGCTCCCTGTGCCTCAGTTTCCCTATCTATAAAATGGGGCCAATGTGCTTGGTAAAAGCTCTTTGAGTTCTACTGATGGGGAGGGTGAGGTATCTTTGCTTGTATTCTCTGCACAGCACTGTATGGTACTCTACAGCATGGTTCACAGCCTGGTGTTGGTGCAGTCGTCCTTGCGCCTCCAGCACAAGAAATAAAATTCACAGTAAGAGGCACGTCCTAAATCTGCAGTTAAGCGGAGTTGTGGAAGCTACAAAAAGTCATTTGTTTAGGCCAGTCCGGTTTCCTGCCCTAAAAGCTGTTGTTTCTTATCCACGAAAGAACGGGGATAAGCTTATTTCTCTAGTGGTTTATCCGTCTCCAGCAGAAAAAAAAAAAAGCTATAAACACAAAAAAATTGTTTAGCCATTGCGTGGGCTGTGTAGCAAATAAACCGGCACAGAGCCCCAGACAGCCAGTCCCTGAGCCAGTCAGTCAGGCCCCCTTGGTGTACACACACGCACAAACAGAGCCAGGGAGGGAAAGCCGGAGTCTAGGCCAGGTCGTTAAGCCTTCGTGTGGGTGGCCTGTTCAGGCTGATAGCATCAGGGGATGGAGCTGATAAACACACAGCTGAAAGCTCCCAGGCTGAGCCACCATGTCCCTGCTGCTTTTTGCCTCTGAGGGGATATAAAAAGAGTGGAAAACTTGGTCCTTCTGGCCGAAAGTCTGCTGGAGGGGCAGGGAGGCCGATATAAAGGGGCGTCCCCTCTAATTCCCTCAGACATTGGGGCAGCCCCCATCTGTTTGGGGGGAGGTCAAGGAAATCGTCCACCACTGCAAACCCAAAGGATTTCCCAGGCAGACCAAGCTAGGAAAGGGAGTCCAAGATGGCATAGTTCCCAGGGGAGCACTGGTCCTTCTCATGACTGTGCCAGACTTCGGCGGCTGCCTTAAGATCTGTGGCCTCTCCCCCTGGATTCCAGCACGTCTGTGGGCTTGGGGGACCTGCTACAAAGCAAAGATGAGCCGAGGTGGTATGAGTCACTGCAAAGCCCAGGTGCTCAAGGGCCGAGTGTTGCCCACCCTGGGTTGACCCGCCTGCAGTTCATTGCGTGGGGAGGGCAAGAGTTAGCCTCATGGTTCTTGCCACAACGATGAAAGCTGCTGCTGGGCCAGTTACAACCTCACAGCCCCTGTGGGTGGGTCAGAGAGTGGGCAAGACGTCTTCCCAGCATCTCCACTTCTGGGCCCTTGAACTATTCCTGTTCTAACCGAGCAGCAGCAGGAGAATGGAGCTGGCCAAAGGAGGTACAAGAAAGGGGCTTCCCTCAGCCCCATTCCAAACACCACCTTCGCGGGAGACTACAGTGGAAAGCAGCTCTCCTCAGACCCACGGTCTCCATGCAACATGTCCTTAGAGTCCCAGCCCGAGCTACAGGCTGGCTAGCCCCACTGCTTTCAATGGAGTGGCACCCCCTTACACCAGCTCTGAATCTGGCCCATAGGGTCAACCCTGGCTGCTCTTTCTCAATCCCTGGACCAGAACACTGTCCTTTTTTTACTGTAGCTTTTTTCTGTCATGACAAAATACAAGTGATGGGATCTTTCTCCATACACGTCTACACCGAGGGCGCTTTGTAGGTTGCACTGTATCCCTGTGATATGAGCGTCCTGATCACCAAAGAATGACATGTTAATGGATTAGGAGGAGGGCAATAATACACTTAGAAGCTGTGTTTTTGATCTGCCTTACACGAGTGTGATTCGACTAACTTTTATAGCTTAACTCCTGATTTGCACTGGTCTAAGTAGCTGGTCTAAAGCTACAGCCCACAATCAGAGCTGGCCTGTGGCTTTGTATCAGAAGCAGAATTATAACAATGAGATCCTTGCAAGCGGGTAGGAGCGGAGACTTATTTTAAAGGGGAGCAGATAGATTAGGCTACCCGGGGGTGGATGTGAGGTGCAGTGTAGGTACACTGCCTTTTTCTTAAATATGAGGCTAATAAATAAAGCCCAACCTTGATAGTGCTTTTTCAACCCAAAATGCTTTACAAATTATATCTATATATTGTAAAGCAGAACAAAATCCATCCATCCACCACCAAAATACAGCCCAGCAATGTTACTCAGCAGTTTGGGACGGAAGTGAAGAAGAGGGCCCTGTCCTACCGTGAATGCAGGGGGGGAATCTTAGGGCAGGAGAAGGGAATTATTCATGTTGGAATTTGTCCAGTATCTCCTGGCTAACACCCTTATGCTACTGGGAAAGGCACTGTGCGATTGTTAACCATTGCAAATGACCGAAGGACCTTCACTTTACATCTCATCCTAAAGGCAGGACCTCTGGCTGCACAATATCCTCCCAGGAAGCCATGAATCCACAAAAGAGATCTCCCATTCGAGCATTGGACTGTCTAGACCTGCTTAGCTTTTGACACCTGATAAGTTCCCAATACAAGAAGATGGTACGGCTGCGTAAAAGGAACAGAGCCGTTCTGCGATAAGGGGAAGAGCACCACCTATTGCATCACAGCCCGTGGGGGCCCCCCCTCCCCATCGCTTCCTGCACATGCAATTTCATGTGTCATCTTTGGACTCTTCTCAGGGAAGCAGCCTCCAAATTTGCTACATTTCTCCCAGGGTTAGGCCATCCCTAGGAATTCAGCTTCACCCGATTGTCCAATACAGATGATGACCATCTCACTTTAAATGGTGAGCAGACCCACCAAGCTATGTACCACCAGCTGAGCCAAGAGGGAGTTACTTTCCTTCATTATATTTCATATACCCATAAATAACATTCCATAAAAAGCAAATTGAAATAAAAGATAAGTTCTCAGGGCACATTTCCCTTTGCCTCTATAATATACTCAAAAGGGGGTTATTTTTAAGCCAACTTCTTATTGGTCTATACTTGCACCACTTGGGAATCCATACTTGCTACTATTTAGATGCAACTGTATCAAAGTGTTAATTAAAGGCCCTGTGCAGGGAGCTCTATGGAAAAGGACATGGGTAGAATATGAGGGTTGGATGGGACCTCAGGTGGTCATCTAGTCTAACCCCCTACTCAAAGCAGGACCAATCCCCAATTTTGGGCCAGAACCCTAAATGGCCGCCTCAAGGATTGAACTTACATCCCTGGGTTTAAGCAGGCCAATGCTCAAACCACTGAGCTATTCCTCCCCCCATAGATAGGTCTATGGAAACTCCTTCTACGGCATGCAAATACTGCTAGCTTTCCAGGTGTCAGCTCTTACACCTCAGAACAAGCCAGTGACACAGAGATAATGAGCCAGATGCAATGGAATTAAACCAGGGCTGAATCTGGATCGGTATGCTGCCCTCTGTACATAATGCATGCTCATTAGCATTGAGTCCTTGCATGTTAAGTAGTGGTTTGAGTCTCATCTTGACTCAACTTAAACTACAATGTACACTTTGCAGGCTCGCTGCAACACACCTACGCCTCTTAGACAACTGTCTATATCTATACACCTCTGACCGCTGAAATACAGCCACCTCAGTGCCGGCGTGCCACAGTGCAGAGCGGTTTAACCAGGAAGTGAAGACGAATATCTTAGCCATCTGAAACTATGGAAGGAACAGGAGGGGCTGGACCTAACTCCTCATGCTGGAATTTAGCCAGGAGACCTGTGCTAACATCATGCTTGCAAACAGTGGTCAGGACCTGGGTTTAACGTCTTATCCGGAAGAAGGTTTCAGCTTTTACAGAGCAGCAGTAAAACTAGCCCTGATTGTTTGTTTTTTTAATTCTCATCCTTCATCTCTGGGGGCGTTGTCCTGCCAGGAAAATCCAAACAGTGGCCACGGAACAACACACCACCTCCCTGTATAATGGCATTCTTTGTGTTCTGATTCCCCACTCCCCCCCCCCATCCCACCCACCTTTCTAATACAAAGGGGGAGAAATGGCGCCATCCTGGAGCTGTAGACACTTTACACCGCCAGCCAACTGGAAAGTGGGAAATATCCTTAGGGCAGATCCTGCCCAAACAGGGCAGATGGGGGAGGTTGACGGGCTGTAGGGATGGGAAAAAGTTTCCTAGTGTGCTGAATACCAGTGTTAGCTCTGTTTATAGCCACTCTTGGGTTGTATAACAACCTCCCAGGGATCAGAACGGGTGTGCTGCGGATTAGCGCTCCCACGGAATATCCCCGACTGCTTGGGTGCCCGTTGCCTACACTCCCGGACCGGGCAAGGCCCCGCTTTGCACAGCCACGTGTACGACTAGGTATCATCAGGCCTTTACGGCTGTGATAGCACCCATTCCAACAAGGAGTTAACACAAACTCTGGGCTTTAAGCTCAGGTTTTCTGAGGGGAAAGGCATTACCCGCCAGGCCTTACC